CAGGAACTTTGACCCTGATTGGAACAAATTTGCTAAAGGCTTCATAAACTGTTAGGCAAAATCTTTTGTAGACTTCAGAACATGAGGTAAAATTATTGAATAAGGAGAGCCAATCTACACTAAAGAAGTAAGAATCAAGAGAGGAATAGTCAACACTTAGAAAATCAGGCAAGGGTAATGTGGAAGCAGAGGAATTCGAAAATTCGATCTCGAAGGTGACAATCCTATGATCCGAGGACCCAAGTGGCTGAAGTGTGCCCACATGCGAGATGAGTGGAAAGGCCGAGAGCACAATGTCGAGAGTATTGCTTTCATGAGTCGGTGAGGTCACATATTGCTTTAGTCCACAGTTGTTTACAAACTCCAGAAAAGGGCAAGAGGCAGCATTGAGGGATTTCTTGGCCATCCAATCAATTTGCAAATTGAAATTTCCGAGTATGATAGTTGGAATGTTCTCAGAAGCAAAATTGCTAAGAATCTCCAGTAATTCATCATCATCATTACTATTCGAATTAGGTGGGCGGTAAACCGTGATAAACTGCATTTGGCACCCTCGGTCAATGTCAAAAACTTTGATTCCGAGTAAATCAGCTTTGATTTCAACGTTCAAATCGACACATGTGGCGAGAAAATGGCTTTTAATAATGCAACAAACTCCACCACCTTTGCGTCTACGTCGATCAGCTCGGTAGATCAAGTATGGTAAACCTCCAACAATTTCAGAATCCAAAATGTGAGAATTGAGCCAGGTTTCATTGATAAAAATCAAATCGGGCTTGTGATGGCAGATGAAGCTTTGCAAGAGATGTATTTTGTTGCAGAGACTACGAGCATTAATTAGGCATATTTTAGATAGAGGGAGACCATGCACACCTAAGCGTTTCCCTGAAAAGCGTGAGGAAGCGCGGAGATGTGTAGTAGTTTAGTAGTTTAGTTTAATAATAATTTCATACATCAAGGGCGCATGGTGTCAAGCTGGATTAGATAGTGCCCTCGGATTCAGAGTTTGTGCACTTGCAGAGATATAGCATGCGATGCAACTGTTGCGGACTCTAGTGATAAGAGTACTGCCGATGGAGATTGTGATTGTGTAGCATAGTGTTCACTTTATAATCGTAGGCACCAAAGTAGCCAACTAAAAGAGTTCTGCAAGGAACTAAAGGTTGCCATATATGGGTAAGAAGTCACGTTGTGTGCGCGTAATTGTGACTTGGTAGGTGGCTGTACGTTCTATTAGGAAAGGTTGGGCCATATCGTTTTATTTACATCTTCTTCGAAGAATCTGTCAATCAAGAGTATTTCATCTTGCGTACTGGCAATCCTGGACTTTGGTTAATCATATCAAGGATGTCGTTTCCAAAATGCCCGGCTGCAGTACGATACAGCTTGAGCACTCGAGTTGTTGGACGCTTAGTTCGTAACGATTGATTTCAATATCCTTACTAACTGTAACGCACTATTTTGAAGCGAATTGTGAGCATTTCTTAGTGCGAAATCGACATATACAACATGGGATTACTAATGGAACCGCTTACCACTAGAATCGTTTTGATAACTTGATTCCATACCTTTCGTATGACATTGCGGTTTTTTGATAAAAGTTGTGAGCGCTCAAAAGTCCAGATTTGGCCAACATTTAGCATTCACATCCCTTCAAGAATTGCTTTTCAAGAGCTTATCTGTATTTCCATTAAACGTGAGCATTTCTTGGAATTATTACAATTACTTCATGCTAGTCATGTACTCCCAAACTGGATTCAAACATATTAAGCGCTAAAATCCCAATGACTTCACGCTTTTAACCCCTAAACATGGCTCGGCACGAGATGGCTTTTGGAAAATGTAAAAAAACGAAGTCCCTCTTGACTTTCGCAAATGTTTACGAAGTCCCCTTTGACCCTGAACCTGACCTAATATCAAGAAAAAACCTCAAAAAACGAAACGTCGACCTCAAAAAAAAACTCCGCAATTTTTTGTCTTTTCGGCCTCAAAAACGATACCCCTTTGCTTACTGTCTCAAAAACGATATGCAGCTTGCTTACAAGCTACCTGTCCGAGCTTTACCCCTGACAAGGGAACAGTCAGAAGTCGAAGTGGCCAAAACATACAAGCTGCATACCACTAGATGCAGCATAAAACGCTGACTCTAAATCTGTCTTCCTTATCTGCAGAGCGCTTTTCTGAATGAACTTATAAGCCTTTGAAGGTCATTATTTTGCTAAGAAATTGTGCGTGTAAAGTGCAAACTTGGTAGTACAAAGCCATTCTTGGTTCAGTGTTGAAACAAAACGTGCGGTTAGGTCACTTCATATGAACCGTTCCTAGATTTGAGCTAAAAGAGCAATAATCTGCCTAATTTCGCAATTTTTGTATACATTTTTTCACAGTAAAGCTGCTCATAACTTTACTGACAAAGGCGCTCTGCAGATATGGAAGACAGATTTGAAATCAGCATTCGATGCTGCATCGAATGGTATGCAGCTTGTATGGATTGGCTACTTCGACTTCTGACCATTCCCTTGTGAGTTTGACCACTCATAAGTTTTCCTTCCAAAGAGTTAGATTTGGAAAGAATTTATCAAGACGCTTTTAACGTTTTCATTGCCACCTTAGGGGGCCGCATGCATTAACATCTGTTTGTTTCCTTTCTTCAAACTCAATAAAAACGTGCTAACGTTTCACTGTCTATCTAACCAAACATGTTCCTGACAGGAACAAACGACATGTCGAAGTCATGAAAATTGCGATAAACCACAAGTCCAAAGTAAGGGTTTATCGAAATTTTTATACTTCAATGACTTGTTCTTACCAGCAACGCGCTTAGCACTTCTATTTTAAATAATCAGTACAACTTTGGATTGTTTTCGTTAACTTCGAAGAAAGAAAAATGAATTTGAAGAAAATCGGTCGGGATTTGAAGAAAATCGGCTGCGGATCATCAGAGGATCACACAGAATGCTGGAACATGGGCTTGTGCAGCTTCCCGCTCCTGTTCATATGTTTTTAATGAAGGATAGCAGTTGTTACGGATGGATGGACAGCGTGGAAACCTGATGTCTGGAGCTTCAGGATTTAGAGCTTTTTTTTTCAAGCAGCAAGCCCCTCCACAGCGTGGATGTTAATGCATGCGGCTCTAAGTTGGTATTCCCTGGTAGTGGCGTACCGAGGGATCGGAAGTTCCCTCTTCCCCCCTCCCCCCCCCCCCCCCCAGAATGTGTCGCGAAATGTTTGAAAGTTACCACTGAGGGTCAGGAATATGGGTGTAGGAGTAAAGAATGCGGGTAGTTACTAAAACATGATCAAGAGCTATATAGCATCGAATAATTACTTCGAAAAACTGCTCTGTAAAGTATGTCAGTATTTTGCACTGACATGCCCACGGAAAAAAACTGAAGATGTCAAGCTGGCATAAGACTTTGTTAATGTACCTTAACAAGCGGATACGGTAGATTGAAACGCCAGAAAACTCGTTTCAGCAAGCTCATAAGTCTGCCTTTGTCTCTAACTGAGAGTTGTCAACTTGAAAGAAGTTATTGGCAAAAAAATTCGTGACAGGCAGAAAAAAGCCAGAGCAAACTGTTTTCTCCCTACTCACTATCCCATACCATTGCATAAATTTCGCTGCGAAGGACGATCAGGAAAATCAAATTTCAAACACAAGATTCAATTTGTCAGCAAAAAGAGAACCTTTGCAAACTAAAATTTGTAACTAAGTCAAGAAGATAAGAGGGAAATAATGTTAGGTTGTCTCACAAGTTTTTTTTTAATTTTGACTTTTGACCGCAATGAGTCATAAATTTTTCAGTACTAATTAGGAATCAGGGAACCCTTTGATAAAGTAAAGCAAGCTCCAAAATGACATGTAAGCGTACGCAGCCTAGTACATCTCGAGTTAGAAGCCAAAATTTAAAAGTTCGGGATGTTCAAAAAATTGAAGAAAAATTTGTTTCTTCGTTCAAAAGGAACTTACTGGAGTTCCCAGCTCAAGCGTATACGCTTCACATCAGACTTCCATATATGTCTTGGCTGTATATTTTTCCTAAGCTAAGAGATTGACGAAACGAAAAAATTCACACTTTTGAAAAAGCGACGCTGCGCTATTTCCACATAAGTACATGTATACTATTTCAAACCACAAGAAGTATGTATAGTCGCAAATGTTTATCTTTCTGAAAGATCTAGTTTCCGAGAACAAAATAATTTCAACATCAAAGACTCAAGCAACAAAAGCTAAATCTGATATTTTTCGAAAATTAGCGCTTGCAGTAAGCCGAAATTCCACGATTATACTCCCAAAGGCTTGTAGTGTACGTTTACTCGTTTGGGAACAGCACAGTATCGCTTTTCAAAACATGAAAATTCTCGTTTTTTTCGGTTTCTAGCTTAGGAAAAAATGCAGCAAAGGCATATATGATTATTCAATGTGAAGTGTATATGCGTGAGCTAGTGGGGAATCATATAAGTTTCTTTTTAACAGATATATGATTTTTTTTTCAAATTCTGGAGCATCCAGAACTTATAAGATTTTGGCTTCTAGCTCGAGGTGTACTAAAGCTGCTGCGTACAATCACATGCCATATTATAGAGCTTGCTTTGCTCAATCGAATGATGCCCTGCTTCTTAATTAGAATTGAGAAGAGTTGGTACAGTCAGAAATCAAATTTGAAAAAGCTTATGAGGCAACCTTATATACTCTTCTCTTACTTTTTTCACTGCAATTTGCCACCAAAGGCATATCGTATTGCTTAGCCATTTTTTGGCTGCAAATCATGATTATTGCTACTTTTCTTACTTGGGCGCCCCAGCTGACAAGCATGTGGAAATTATAAAGATCAGATTAGCGTTCGACTAACTATATGAAAGCAAAAGATAACGCAGCTCCATATCTGGTCATTTATCGTGCCGAGTTAAGCAACTCCGCTTGAGGTTTGGGCTCAATAGAGGGAGAAAGAATGAGAAGCAAAGTGCGTTTGATCTGAAAGACGTCCGTTGGTCTGTAGATGCTGAGTTTCGTTCAAAAGCATTTACAAAGTTTACTGAAAGTTTACAATAAAAACGCTGTGGTAATTGTCGAAGTGCCCTCAGTTTAAAGTCAATTAAAAGAATAAATTTAGCACGATACATTCAGGCAGTTCACTCAAGCGTTCATCAAATTGTATAAAAGGCTCGTGAGTACACAAGAAGCAGAAAAACCGATGCGCCTCTACATTTTCTTATTCCTTGTAAGTCTGAAGAATATGATTCTCACGCTTTTAATAGGTTTTTCTTCAGGTTCAGACAGAGACGGTGCTCTCGAAACAAAAGATCGAACAATGCGTAAATCTGGATTACACGTACTACCTTCATCGTTATAGATGCCCTCACTTCGGCGAGAGAGATGGAGATGGCGCATTTGCATCATCAGGATCATACGCGACACTTGTCAACGATTATCTCCACGGAAGCCTAAACATGGTTGGCCTGATGTAACACGATGTTATAACTTGAGTAAATACATCGCATGGAATGGTAGCTAATCAAGTCAATTTATGCGTTAGAACGCATAAATTGACTTCATTAGCTGCCATTCCATTCGGAGAAAAATATATGCGATGAAACATCGAACAACAGACGTCTCGATTTAATTTCTTACGAATAAGCAAGTAGGAGTAGAAATGGAAACCATATAAAGCTAGAATCAAGGAACCTTGATCTTTCAGTTTTTACACCGAAAACTCGCTGAGATCGATACTTAACTCAAACTATACCTTGCTTTAGACTCCTTCATATCCGTTAAAACATGTCGCCTGCGCTTTGAACAATCAAGTGAAAATTCCGAAAGGTTGTGGTTTCACATATTTCACAGTGACTTACAAGTAAGTTCTCAAAACGACTTCTCCAATGATTTTGTGCAATTATACAGATCTCGACAAGACTTACAAAGGTTTGCCGACGCCATCAAAAACGAAATGGAGGAGGCGACGAAAGCGGTAATTAGAAAACAATTCTGATATACTTCCTTACAAATTACTATACCCTTCCGCTTGAGTTAGCACCGTTTTGACGTGAGCAAAATGCTTAATCATGGTTGAGTTTTTCATCAACTTCAGGGGCTATGCGATGCACGCCTGGAACTCTGCTCGTCTTCACAGCCAGCCATAAACACTCCTAATTTTTGTGTATTGCACGGTCAATGCTATTCCAATGCGCGTCCAAACCAGTTTTTCAATCTGCTTAAAAATCTACGTTACACCAAACTTTTTCGCTTGAATTCAACAGATCCGAATGCTGTAATCTGATTATGGACGGAAACATCATTTTATTTCAGCACAGAAAACGAGGAGAGACCATATACTTTTTTCTTGGTTGCGCCAATGCGGGAAATAGCAAAGTCACGTGTGCTGCTTATTATGTGAACGCCAAGAAGAGAAACAAGGAAAAGTGTAGTACACAGAAAACCGGCCGAAAGGCCCCCGAGCAGGAAGAAAGCCGCGTTCCTCCGCCTACCGCTGGAGCAGAGTCAGTTGCACTTGCCCCTCCCTCTGCGGAGAGAGAACCTCCCAAGCACAGCCTACCTATCAATTCGCCCGGAGATAGAGAAAGCGTACGGACCCCACCTAAGGAGGAAGAATCACTCGAAAAGGGACCATCTGGCGGTATTACCGAGGAGAATGGACAACTCGGACTGAGGTCACCTACCGGCCCTGAGGAGAGTGGACCACTTAACCAGAGCTTACCTGCCAGACCCCCCGAGGAAGGAGAACTAGACCAACAGAGTCCACTTACCGGTTCCCTCGGAATAGAAACAGGTAGCCATTACTCCTCGCCTACCGAAAAAGGTGAACCAGGCGAACCGGATTCTGAAATGCATAAGGCAGGCGGACCGACTCCAGTTATCAAGGACAAAGGAGAAAACCATCAGGGCTTGAACGGCGGTATTTCAACAGAAGCCTTGTAATGGTGTATCATCACCGCTCACATGCACATTTTGGAATAAACATGTTCCGAAAAATATTCTGACAGCCAGTAATAATATAGTAAAAGTAGGTTCCAACAAATTTGGCACATGTTATAAAGCATCACTTATCACACATATTCATTCATACATTTACATATATGATTAAGCGGGAGTTCCCGACACGAGTAACAACCATCACCTAAAAGTAGATCACAGTAGATCACATGCCAAATAAAAGTAATTTCAGCACAGTTCAACAGATTTGCGTTTAGTCATGGTTGACAACAATGCAGTTTGGCTGAAGAAGAGCCACTTACAACGCACCCCTAACTCGCGTGAAAAAAACGCCAGGCGATGGATTTTTCCGCCGCGGCAGATAAATCAACAAAAAATCGTCGGAAGCTCGTAGAATCTTTCAGACTGGGTTTTTTGCAAATCTTAGGAGATTTTTGGAAAGTTCAGAAAAAGGCGATTCTGAAAACGAAAAAATTTTCTCAAAACACATTTCCTCAACTGCTTCAGTGGTACGGCGACGGATTGATCTGCGACGAAAACGTTGCAGGCTCATAACTTTATTGGAAATGAATTTTTTCGTTTTACTTTCATATTAGTCCATATATAAAGAAGGATATCTTGACTTTGGAAAGAGTTCAGATGACTTTTACTCGTATCCTTTTCTATAGACTTGTGCCTAACGACGATTACATTACCCAGCTGCCCTCCCGTCCTACAGAAGTAGGTTGGCCCGCTTCAAGCTTCATAGCCTGCTTTACCGAAGGGTTGTTGCTGATCTAGTACTTGCCTTCCAAATATTACGTCTTGAGACTAAGCTTTTGCCTAGTGAATTCTGGGTTTGGAAGCCTTACCACGGACGTACAGGTAGGTTTAATTTTTACTGTGCTGATTCACTAGGATCAACAAAATTGAACAAGCTTTTTTATAACTCCTTTTTTGTCCGTACTGCACGTTGGATGCAGAAATTGCCTGACTCTGTCATCTCTTCTGTTAACTCAAAATTATTCAGAAAAAAGCTTTTGGAATGCGACTTTTTGAGTTTGTTAGGCATTGACGAGTCTGAATTCTTTTAGATGTAGGGTCTCTTTTACAAGATGTGTGTTGCGTTTATTTCAATCCATTTTTTTTCTCCTCTTTTTTTCAGAAAATGGTTAAATTCGGCTGACTGCTTTACAGCTTCTTTCTTGCCACGTCTTTTTCATCTGCGATAAGCTTGGGAGTTTAGCTTTCTCTTAAGTTTGTAGTTGTTTTTCTCGGTTTTCTTTTTAGATCCCGCTTCTCGGCGGACTCAAGTTGTGTCGTCCAGTATTTGTTGACAACGCATGATCGAGTTCCAGCTTCTTCTTTTATTTGCCTGTACTACTTTTTGTAAGAGTGTAAAATAGATGTCGTTTTGTATTGTTTTGATCTTTGGTTGATGATGTGTCAGTTCAATTCGACTGAGACATATTTGTCGTTCTGGGTCTAATTTTTCTTTTCTTCCTGGTACATAAGGCTAACCTAAGGAGACTGCTCGAATATATTTTTTACCTAGCATATTTCCAGTTTTCCTATTGAGTTTGTGGCTCATCCAGTATGTTCGGTTGCACTAGGGTTGCCTAGTTTGTTGCGCTAGCATCCCCTTTTCATAGTCTCCGTCATACTCCTTGAATGTTGGTCGCTTGCTGGTCAGCGAGGGTGTCATGCGCAGACTCATATGAATATCCTTTATGGCAGCGCTTCTAATAGTTAGTCCTTGTGTTTTATCACTCATTAGTGGGAACTTAGACTGGCGAATGGTCTCAAAAAAGCTATTTTATTTTTCTGCGTTAAGCCTTTCTTGTCTCTGTGTTTGTGTATTTCTAACACTGATTTTTTGTTTTCAAGAATCTGTTGGTTACTAACCCGACACTATGGCGCGCCTGTGGCGTATTCAAATAAATAAATAAATAAATAAATAAATATTCGGAATACCATTGAAATTCGGCTAAAAAATGTAAATTTGTTTAAAGAAAACTTTTCCTGAATCGTTTTAGAATAGTCGCGAAGAGAAACTTTTTTTGTCAGAACACTGTCAGAAACTCATACGATCAGCCTCTTTTCCAATTTTAGCATTTCCATGTCTAATTTCTTCAACTGCACATATGAAATCTGTAGATTTCCCGAAAAAGAAAAAAGTGCACATTTTAGGTTCAGCTGCACTCAACTCTCTTAAATTATAGAATGTAATTCGTGAGTGGTTTTTATTTGTTCATTTCCTGAACAGATACCTACATTTTTAGAATGCTCATCTCGTCGTGGTTCAGAAAATAACAAATTTACGAGCATTTAGGCATTTTGAAACTACCTCGGAAAATTCAGTTGAAATTCGACAATTTTGACCAAATTTTTCCACTGACTTCTCTCGACAAGAACTCATTGCTCAACGATATTTTTTTCGCTGTGGCTTGTTCTACCACTACTCGGTTTTTCATAGGTCTGGAATGATAGTTTCTCGACTTACGCTCCTTTAATCAAGGCCAATTTGCAATTTTAGGCCGCCAACCTCAATTTAGAGACCCATATCTTTATCGAACTCACAGTCAGCTGTTCTCTTCTGAAACTTATGAAGCACTTCTTGTAGATTCATAATTAAAGAATGATTAGGAGATTTCTAAGCAGTGAATTCCTTCACTGCTTCTCAAACTTCGCAGCTTTCACTCAATTTCACAAATATCACTGATGACTATTTTTCATTTAAAAATTGGGGAAAAAAAGAAAGAGAGTAGACAGTTACTCAGTGATGCTCAAGTTTCCCATATTCAATTTAAATCATGAAATTTCTGTCTATACGCAGAGTTATGACGGTGCGACGTATCTGTCGCGGTGTAGCCGTCGAATTTTCGGCAGCGACGGATTTGTTGCATCGAAACCGTCGACTTTTAGCAAATTGGTCTATGCACTTTATTTTGTAAATTTGTTATGTTGCTGAAATCAGTGGTTTCTAGTCATGGTGGTAGTGAAATTAAAATTTCATCAACTTTGATTTAGAAAAAGTTATTTCTTTGCGACGGTTTTGCACACAAGCTTTTCGTCGCGACTACTCTAAAACGATTCAGGAAAAGTTTTTTGAACAAATTTACATTCTTATAGCCGTCATTCCAATGGTGATCCGAATATGAAACTAAAACTTGAAAAAACTCATTTTCAATAAGGTTATGAGCCTGCGACGTTTTCGTCGCAGATCAATCCGTCGCCGTACCACTGAAGCAGTTGAGGAAATATGAGAAAATTTTTTCGTTTTTAGAATCGCCTTTTTCTGAACTTTCCAAAAATCTAAGATTAGCAAAAAAACCCAGTCTCAAAGATTCTACGAGCTTCCGACGTTTTTTTGTTGGTTTATCTGTCGCGGCGGAAAAATCCATCGCCTGGAGTTTTTTTACGCGAGTTAGGGGCTGCATTGTGCCTAGTGTTTTGCTACGTATAGCTTCTTTAACTCTGTGATTCCTTGCTTTAATCAAAGATGAGATAGCGACCAAAGTATAAAGCAGATTTTGAATCGAGAAATTAATTTTTAAATCATACCAATTTTATGCTAGTGAATCTGAAATTATGGATGTGACCGTACGAGCTAGAGCTGATCCATTTCTGGACCAACTAATCTTTTTTGGAAGCCGATACAGATATCGTTGAAAATCGCTGTTTTAACAGATTTGTAGTGAAAACTTTTGCAAATGTTCAAAAAATTCTACTGACAAAGCCAGGAACTCGAATATGGAGAAAAGCTGCACCAAACGCATGCTGCCTCCGTCCACGGTTTGCCCTTCAAAATTGGCGAGTGATCATAAGCATGTTGGCACGTCTCAATCTAATAAACTATATATTGTTTAACTTGTGTACTACTTTTAGCCTCAGAAGGTCCCAAAGTTCATGCCGGTGACATAGAATAATGATAGACAAATACTATGAGCACAATCGACGCATCCATTTCATCGAAAGGTAGCTGGGCCAGCATCCCAGTGTGATATACGGAGATCGCCTATGATATTTGGCTGGTTAGAAATCATTAAGAAAGGCCACAAAGAACAATTAGAGACATCTGAATAAGTATCGCTATTGTTTGAACTATCTGCTTGCCTTGCAACCACTCTGAAGAGTTAGAACAGCGACTCAAGGTCACAGCAACAAGAAGTACAAAATTTAGGCAAGATAAATTCAAATAAAGACATCCAGTAAATGGAGCTGCCACCAAACAAGATCAGTTTTTATTGCTGGAAATAGAAGGAAGAGCGCGTTTGATGTAGAGCCAATGCTTGTCTATTTTTGTTCGAACGTTTATTAACGAGTAAAAACGGCGAAAGCTTTCTTACGATGTGTGATTGCTTAAGGTTGTGGTGTGGTTATGATTACAAAATTCTTGAGTCTAAGTAAAACTGTTCCTTCTTACCTGATTAGGTAATTTTAACTGTGCATTGTTCTAGCAATAACAATCCTTCAAAGTCACAAGCACATGGGACGACTTACTTTGATTTGCTTGTTACAGGTTGCTATACGAAATTTACGCTCACTCCAATTCCACATAACAGCGTTCCAAAATCCCGAATGAAACCATGTTTTTCATAAAGGTAAATCATGTTTTTATGCAAACAAGCACGAAAACTACTGCATCCCAAGTTTTTCTTGATTTTTGCGAACAGTGTTCGAAAACTTATACAATCAAAAAAGGGAGATCGAATAAAAATTGAGAACTCAAATAATCCAAAGACGGAGTTTCGAGTAAAATTCGAGAACTTGAGTCATTGGATGTCGAGGTTTTGAGCGAATACTATTTGAATGTTTTAATCGAATGTTTTATTTGAATTCGTATTAGAATGAAATTAGTATCATATTCGAGTTTGGCTAGAGCCATCTTGACCGAGAGGGAATGTAGCAACTTTCAGACATGGTCAATCCAGAGATTCGAATAATTTATTCGATATTTATTCAAATTTGACTTCCAATATTCGAATATTATCGATATTCGTTCA